TTTGTATTAAGATATCAAACAGATTCAATTCGTTTAATGAGCGCTTCACTGACCGCTGTGACCCATTACCGTCACCTACTTTATATCTTAATTTTATAAAATGAAGCTTTCTAGCCTGGTTACTAAACACATCCCCACAGGAGAGAAATATAATAGTCGTGTGATGCTTGAGCGAGTCCTCTTTGATGCTTACGCATAAACATGGCAAAATATGTCACCAGGTACAATGTTTATTTCAAAACGCTAGAAGTATGCACATTAATATTTCATTAGTTGATAATGGCAATATAAACTAACATCACCGTAAAACATAATGGGCTCTTATTGCTCATTATACCAGACGGGCTGATCGAACGAGTATTGAAATTCTAATAATAGCAGTTTCAGCTTTACACACTTTAAGTCGTTTGATGTCTATTAATAATATATCGTTTATATAATTATATTCTGCCAAATGAATAGAGAATATTTTTAATGCGTGCTTAGAAATTTTTGAGTTTAAAATAATAAGAATATTTCTTGCGCATCCATGTGTTTGTATGTTTTGATATATATATATATTCATTCAACTTTTGTTTGATATAAGATAATCTGTACAACCTTCATTTGTGTAAATACGTAAAGTGAAGACTCTATCAGAAAGCCAATATTATTAGTGCGCATCTACAGCAATAGCTCGATTACCTAAAATGGAGATTTATTTAGCAAATATTCATTTCAAGAGTTTAGATTGTTTCTTAAACATCCTCGATCATTTATCCCTGCAATACTTTATCCGTTAGGAGAGAAAAAGTTCAAAACTCCTGACATCATCAACTATTAACTATAGATATCCGTGCTGATATACTACACTATTCATTATTTATCGGAGGAAGCCACAAAGTTTTGACAAGGGTTGATTCATCTTCCAAGGAGGATTTGATGTTCTACTTATTTTCCGCATCAAGAGTCAAAAGTTTGCATGATTTTCACTAAAGTCTAATGATTGATACCAAAAGCTGTTTGTTGTTTAGTATTTTTGTTATGCATATATAAAAATAGAATAGCCAAATTTTCAGAGGGTATACATGTCTCTCCCTCGTCCACATTTTACTTTGATGCTTATATAGTGGTCATAGTCATGAAATTTCTTACTTGATGTATAGCCAAGGTTATCACAGAGAAAGAGGAAGGGGTAATGATACGTGGATGCAATTGGGCGCAAGTATATGTTGGTAGAGGTAATGGAGTATATTTAAAGGATCATAGATCCGAATTAGAAATCCAAGCAATGCTATATATGCAGAAAACCAGGGTATTTAAGTAGAGGAGAGATTGTCCAACATTATTAAAATAAATCACATGTTTCAAGTGTATTGAGAAATGCCACAGTCGATGTATTGCCCAAAAGTGAAAGTACCTCTATTACATGACCGAATTATGACACAGGTAGGTATAAAGATCCGATTTTAGTAGATGAAAACAACGAAGTGAAAATCAACATAGAATTTACTCCAGCCGCAGCATTACTTGATAAGGAATTTGCGTTTATATTAAATTAAAATTCTTGCATCAGAAATTTCAAACCTTTAGAGGATATACTCAATTTAGAATGCGCAGATGAAAACAGTTTGGCGTATTTAGGATACATCGGAGTTAAACTAAATGTAGCGGATGGGTTACCTAAATTAATTTTCTTACACCTAGTACCAAAGTACCTCAGTAAAACAACAGTACTTTTAAGACTTATATTCTTCAAGAGCTTTTTTTAGAATGCAATTAACACTTAGGTAATTAATTTTTACAGAAGATGATATTAAAGAGCCCTTCAAGTTAATGTTAGGCATACGTACACTGGCATATATGTACACTTAATAATTCTTGATAAATATGTTTGATGAGGCAACCAGCTATAAAACACAAGATGAGGCATATTTTGCTATAGAATGACAAAACATACACTCATACAAACAACATATAAACTAGTTAAACTAGCCTAAACATGTTTATTTCAGTCTGAATGTGTATCCAAAACTTTCGTAAATGTATATATTGTTTGGTGCATTTATCTGCAACCATTTTATGGGGTGATCGGTCATCTTTAGAGTGCGTTTTGGTTGCGGTTGCAGATTAAGTGCAAATAGGAAGAGGTTTAAGTTTTCAGAAACTCTAACGTGAAGATACACTTAGTTAATTTCTCAAGTTGTCTTAATAAACTTACGTTTGCGAGGCTAGTTCATCTAGTCGTGAATATGTATTTACATGTGTGTTTTGATATTAGTATTTATACATAAATATTTTTGAGTAACAGTGATAAACATTTCTGCTATCTTTGTCACAGTTTACTAGATTATGCGCATTCTGAACTATGGAAAGCCGTTTATGCCGTTATCAAAGTGAGAAAATTAGACGTAAAAGTACGTTGGTTCAGATTTAAAGAATTGTTCATACAGATTAGAAGCAATATTTATTTTTGGTGCAATTCTGGTGTAAAGCGACTACACAAGTGATTAATATTTACAATTGTTACCACAACGTACAATCAAATAGGTAGACAACGGTTCAACGCGATGACAGTCGTACTAGTATTACATGTCGGTATAAAATCATAGTTGACGGACGGTAAGTATTAATATATTTTTAACATATCCCAACTGTGTTTGAGTAAATCAATTAATTGATTCATAGTCAACATCTAAATGAGCCTGCTAACAAATTTCTGACCCTGTGCAAGCTTTATTTTACGTGAATTGTGATTGAAAATAACCACACTTTCCGATGAGATGCGGCATAATTTTAAAAAGTTACAAAACCTTACGTTTTCGCATGATAAAAATCATTCTAAGAAACGATTCGCGAACGTCAACATTATTTTTGTCATTAAATATTCCAAACAATACCTTTAAAAATGCTTTTCTTTTAAAGATGTATCGTATTTAAGTTTGAATGCCTTCAAATTTGAGTTTCGTCATCAACCGTTCGACTCTATTTAATGACAACATCTGATAGACAACGATCTTTTCTTGCCTTGCTTGATATTATCGAAAAAAATATTCGTAACTTTAGCAAGTGAAGAACTTTGTCAGAATTATTGACCCTACATCGATCAAGTAGAGACAAAAGCCACCGATGTTGGAATTGAAATAGACTGAAGTCTTAGATAATCTGAAAGAAAAACTGTCACCCCACCGATAAATTGGATTTGCCTTCATTCTTACCAAGTGGCAAACTTTGAAAGTGAACATATCCGAGAACTTTGCAAAACCATGCACATCAAGAAAATCCAACGCAATACAGACACAGAGCGATTTAACAGAACGCTATTGGGCATGCTCGGAATGCTAGAATAGATACAATAAGAATCTCTACAGAACGTCCAAAACAACAAAATTAAAAATGTTGCAGGCTCGGTTTGATTGAGCCTTTCCACGCTTGCTAGCACCGGCTTAAGCAGTACATAAACATTGTGAAATTTGGAAACACATTTAGACTCATATCAAAAGATTGTAAGAAATACGTCAATCGTTGAGTTTATGCTTTTAATTGTATTCCACATAAAGGCTTTGAAATTTCACCGTTTTTCCTCATGTTTCTTACAAGATGATCCAAACTATCAATAGATTCAACAGCTGAAAAAAGGTCACAGAAAAAAGAAATAGGCAGCAAGGAGGCAAAGAATTACATCAGTGACATGAGGACTAGAGTAAGAAGAACATAGAATATAGTTAAAAACATTTGGACATGTCTAAAATGAAACGAAAGAAGTTTTACGACAGGAAGACGAAAGCGGCCAACATATCTGTTTGTGACTTGTAGGAAGCATAAGATAAATGATAATTTGTAAAAAGAAGTTTATCATATGAAGGACCAGCCAAGGCCAGACATCCCGTTTTCGAGTAAGGTCGGGGAAAACGCATACAAAGAAAGATTTAGCAATTGTCATGAATTTTGAATTTTATGGATGACATACTGTGTTTTGATTAGCTAATATAAATTCAGGCACGTGTATTTTCGCGGGTTTTTCAGTGCCAGTTATGCTTTTCATATATTTTCATACTAATTGCGATATAAAATTAAATTTTATCCATCTTTGTATTGGTAAAGTATTTTGGTACATTTGCTTTTAATTAGTTGTATCCTATGGGCTTCTGTGGAAATGAGTATTACATTCGTTGCTTTGCTTTCGGAGATATTGTAAACATGTTTGCAATATTGCATATTTTGTGTACAGGAAATTAAAAGGTTATCCGGGTTACTAACTATTTAATAGGTATTTAGGCACTTAGCAACTCAAAGAATACGTCGTGTTAATTCTATTCTGATGATGTTGTTAATATGCTGTCTATTTAAATATATATTTGTAATTCAATATCTTATTTGCATAGTAATTAGTTGATATAATGTATTTTTGGGTCACGTGCACGTGCATCTTTCCATGTTACAATGTCATTATTTGTGACAGACATGATGTGTGAATAAAGTCAGATTAGAAGAAAACCCAAAGTCTTGTTTTTAAGTACATTTCATTTAGCGCATGGGTTACATTAATAATTTAATACCATCAACAATCTTTTCAGCTTTTAAGCTTGAAAAGGTAAAACGTGGAAATCATTTCATTTCTGAAAATAACAAAAAATACGAGAACAATATAATTTAGAGGAATTAAATGCAGAAACAAATACAAACATTAAACAGTTGGTAAATGGTAAAACACAAGGCCATTAACGCGGTATGTTCAATACACCAGGTGGTTTTACACCATTATGAAACAAATGACATGCAAGAATGAAAGGTTATTTTCTCTATGAAGCTACGTCAGAAAAGTAAGGTTTAAACATATATTAAGAAGCGACATTTAAAATATTTTCAGAATAGCAAAAGCTTTCTTAGTCTACATGGAAATTTGTTCTTGAAATGACCTTATACGTTTATACATTCAGAATAATGAAAAACAATTTTTCCACACGAGTTGTAACCATTGTCATATGTGCCATAGTGATTTATATGCTCGGATCTTCAAGTTTGAGGCAATTGCTGTTTTCACAACGAACACAGAGGTCAATGGAATATACTTTGCCTCCTCAGTATTTAGCAAAGGATAAACATTTTGACTACAGGAAGGCAATGGAAAGTCTCAATGATGCTAAAGTACAAGACGATGATTTGAAACTAATTGCATTGATAAGGAATTATTATATTGAAAATCCTTCAACTCGACCGTACAATTTTGATGAACCAGATAAAATGGATCAGTCAAAAGGCCAAACGGCAGTTATTGATAAATTGCTGAATCAAAAGGTAGGGATACAATTAAAACATGTAGTTTTCTAAAACAAAAAAGGGAAGGACTCATAAATTCAATTTAATTTTACGTATCTTTAAATGTCTTAGGCATACATGAATAAGGCAACACAATCAAGTAACATTCAATAACAATGAATTGAAACCGTCATCATTAAAGGTCTTATAGGGCATATTTTCATTTTTTTTTCATTTACATTCAAGCATAATTTCTAGAGTCAAATAATTCAGACAAAGAGAAATACATGTAGTTTTATAACGATTTGAAGGGTTATAGGTGAAGTCAAGTCAAGTCAAATATTTTAATGGCAACATCGCAAAGTTACCGTGGCCGATATAGCATATTAACATTACATATGGAAATTATAGTATACAGCTATTACATATTTTCAAGGAAGACGGATTTTTTGTCGAATGTGGAGCTAACTCAGGGGAAAAGCTATCGAATTCGTTATTTCTAGAACGTTATCGTAATTGGGATGGTATTCTGATTGAAGCAAACCCAATCGTCTACAAGATGCTGAAGAAAAAGAACAGAAAATCGTATACACTGAATGCTTGTCTGAACATAAAACCATATCCAGCTATGGTAATGTTTTTGTTTTTATTCATTCTCAACATGTTACATTTACAGGCGTTAAAAATATGGGTAATCTTTTTTAATTATTCGATTTTGACAGAGCATAGGAATAATTCGTTTGAAAAGAAAAAAAAATTCATATGTGTGATAATTACTATTTATTGATGAAATGCATGGCTTAGAATATGTGGCCTGCTTTTTAAATTTGTCTTTGGAAGTCATATTTGTGTTATGCAGGCTTCACAACCTCTGATCCCCTTTCAAAATTCCATTTTATTTAGTTTCGCCCATTCTCGTTTAGGGCACACGCATTTTTTTACTTGGGGACCATATGCCGCTTTTCATTGTTCCATGATAACCGCCATATTAAACACATCTGCGGATGTTTCAAAATTCCAAATTTTACCAGTTCATGTTAAATGTTACTGATTAAGCCGGTGCTAGGGTGCGTGGACGGTAACTTGCACTTACCAGTACCGTCCATGACCAAGCTCAATCAAACTTAGCGTGCAACATTTTCAATTTTGTCGTGTTGGGCTTTCTTTTGGAATTCTTTTTTTCTCTCTATTTTAACTATTCTGTATAAGTAATTTACATTTAAAATAGTCCAGGCATGTCAAAAGAAAATTAATACTTTTGTTAGACATTTGTCAAGTTAAGCAATCCGTTACCTTTGTGAGAAACCTTTTTTAAATATCAAAAACGTGTCTGATCTATTTATTCTTGTGGTAAGATACTATTCTTGTCATCATTACTTTGTAAATACATGTTTTAATAAGGAATATTTATCAAGTGATTTGCGTATAAGTCATATTGTATAATGCAATTAAATATGATTAAAAGGCATGTTTTAAAGGGAAGGGTATAGACAGATCAAGATGTTGTAGCTTTGTTACAAAATATTACGCGTGCAAAACAAACTTCATGGCTAGAAGAGATTGAATCTGTCGTTTGTATTACCACGTTAATAACACGCATCTATATTTTATTTTTAGAATTTGTAAAACGTAAATGTTAAACTGTTAAACTGTTACATCATGCTCGACGTAAATATCAAAAATGATGCATGAAATGTTTCTAAAGGTTTGAATTTATGACCTTTATTGCTTTTCGTAAGACACTTTATATTACATATTTGCATTTCCTTTCATATAGTATTTTATTATCGTTAAAGGTGGCGTTTTTAGAAGACTCTTGGTGGAGTAAAATGTTGGATGGAAATTACTCGAAATCTTACAAAGAAAAAGGGGACGCAGGTCGTTTCATCCAAGTTCAGTGTTTTCCTTTATATTCAATTCTTTTGGCTCTAAATCAGACAAGAGTAGATTACTTTAGCCTAGATGTTGAAGGGACAGAGAAAGGTGTTCTTGATAGTATACCGTGGGACAAAGTGGACATTAGGACGATGTCAATTGAATTCAATAAATGGTCAGGTGGAAAGTCTTCATTGATTGCATACATGGCAAGGCAGGGATATAAAGCTGTTAGTGAAATAGATACCGATAAGGCGCACGATATAATTTTCCTCAGACTGTAAGTCGTATTTATGGCAATTAATGACAATATATGGAAATGATAACAATATATCACAATAAATGACATCATATAATAATGAATGAAGTATATGGCAAAATTACATTATATGACGATAAATTACATTTATTTTTATATGAAATAAATGGCATTGTATGGCAATAGATGAAGTATATGGCAATAAATGACAGTATATGACAATAAATGGTATTGTATGGCAATAGATGAAGTATATGACAATAAATGACAATATATGACAATAAATGACAGTATATGACAATAGATGGCATTGTATTATGACGATAAATGTATGAATGTATATGGCCAAAGATGGCATCTTATTAAAGTTGACAGACAGTGTTGTCCAATGAGAACCATTTGGCAAGAAGCTAAATATATTGTTCATAAACTCTTTGTGAGATATTGCTTAAGAAACACGAATATTTTTTAAGGCAGCACGCCCTCAGGTTTATGTTTTCGTGAAAGTTTCCAAAATGTATTTAAAAGTAAAATATTGTGAGGTGAACAAAAGAGTATTTTTTACACGTTAGGGGGACAGAGTAAGCCCAAAAGCGTTAATCACGCAGTAACAGTATGATGATAAATACTGCAAAAGTCTTTATTCGCACGTACCATAAAAATTATAACTTGAATCTTGAATTACCCTAACTATAATCTTAGTAAATTTTTCTCAATATTGATTTTCTTGGATAATTTTTGCTTATCTGGAGGCATGCAGCTTTAAAAGCATTCACAAATTTTCTTATTGCGTAAAAAGATGCGTTTCATATTTAGTTATGCATGCACGTTTATTTATTGAAATTATCGCATATTCTAAGATCATGCAAAGTTTTGTTGTTTTTTATACAGTTTTGAGGCTTTTTATGTATACATGTTTATGAAAACTTTAACACATTTCGTTTAAGACTATTTTTTAAAGTTCTTGGTTTGAATGTAATTCAAAGAAGGCAATGGATAGAAATATGCCAGTAGTGTAAACATGCCTGTGTTTGAAAAACAAAAACTATTGTTCCTTAATGTTAGTTACCGGTTGAATTTAATTCAAGAAAATATGAACAACACAACTAAGTTCAGAAATACCAGAAATCTTTATAACTGGAATTGTAATGAGTCCATTATTAGAAGCTCACCAACGAAGCTATCTCCTATCATAGACGCAAGATAAAATTGCCAAAAAACAACAACAAAAGATGGAATGTTTAATTAAAATTTTAATGGTAGCAATATGATTTGGTTTACACAATAAAAGCCAGAGCAACATAAAATTTACATATTTATATTCATATGATATTTACCGTATAAATGTACAAACTAGTAATCTACATGTTTCCATTTAAATAAAGATTTTGACCGTACATGTATATATTGCTAAAGTTATATTGTTATGAACAATATAAAACTCCATCCAATGCGATTTTTTCTGTTGGCCAACCCATTTGCATTAATTTTGTTTTAACGTTTTATTTTGAGTGTACATTTGCATGTATATAGTAATAAATATTGGTAATCTAATTGATTTTGTTCTGTTCTTGTAACTTTACAGTATGTAAAGTAGTAAATATAAAATTAAGTTAGTAATACAAAAATATATACAGCCCGTATAAAACTTCCTATCACTTAATTTCTATTTAATATAATCGCAATGCCACATTCATTAAAAAATAATAAAAAAAGCCTCGGGTGTTATTTCAGTTCTCGGGTTGCAAATATGCGCTATGACCCTGAGAGACATGTGGTTTTTTTAACTATCGAACCAATATTTTAATTGAATTAAACATTTTTAATATGCGAGAGCAGATCGGCCAGGGGAGAGAACTAGAACAGTACGTTTTTTAAGTCTATGAAGATTACACGCCCCTGGTGAGTAAAATTTATACAGTAATTATATTGCAAAAAAATATTGACCATGATGATAGATCGAAATAACACAATGTGAAGTCACATTAGGCTAAAACGTTTACGTTTCCACCTCAAATAATGTAAAATTTATATCACTTCATGATGATACAGGAAATTTCATTATTGAATTTTGGTGCAATGGCTAACAAAAATAAGTTTTTATTTAATAGATTCAACAGCTCGTCTTTTCATTTTGCATCTGAAATTCCACAAATTCTAGTACAAGATATCACCAGCGACATTTCCATTTAAAACTAAAGATTTATGTTCTCTTGTATTCAAACTGTAGCAATTACATGCCATAAATATATTTAAGTCCTACTTAGACATCCCAGCAACGTTTCTACTGCGCATGTCCCTTTGTTATTAGATGTTTCCGGTATATTTATGTCATACGTTCGTACATATAAAATCTTTGAACGGTGCTGACAAAATCGAAATTCAGACTAAAAATGCTTATTTCTTATTCATTTTTCGTCCAATCATTTTGTCAATAAGGTAGTCACTTATGCATTCAGGTAGCGTCCATAGCAACCTCATCATGTACTTTGCATCGTTGCCAACCAAGTATCTACAAATACAAAATTATGAATAATTCCACAATATCTCTTTACATTTAACATTGTAATGCTTATTCCTAATATCTCCAAAATTTCTAATACATAGAGATGAAATTGTCTTTTCTTTTCTTTTTCTTATTAAAGCGTGCTTTTTTCAAATATCTTAGGCGCCTTAATGGGTTTATGATGTGTTTTCCTCATTTTATAATTATACTGAAATAGTAACTAGTTAATTAATTTAAATAACGTTACTCTACAATTGAAATAAGTACACTATAATATATTCAAGTATGTATAAATTTAACGATTGGATTGTTTCCATCGGTCAGCTTTAATTACAAACTAATATACACGTCCTGTTTGTAACAATAAATATAAAACAGTCAGCATGTGTCATCCTCGCATAGATCATGAGAAAATGAGTATGAAGGGAATGATAACACATATTTAGGGAGACTAAAAAAACGTTGGATCACCTCACTAAATACCGTATACTGGTATTTACCGGACAAGGGGCTTGAATGATTATATGCTATAATCTCGTCCTGTTCGTTCAATGAAAGGAACTTTAAATATCTGATTCATCTCTCTGATAATAAATAGAAAATGTAATAATTGGCGAAAAAGTGATTTCTTTTTGTAATTTGTGATCATGATTTTTTCTGCAAGCATCTAGAGACACTGTAATGACTTTTATTACTTATATTGATGGTCATGATACTAAACCTTTCCTACCTTTTCTTAGGATACTTGGCAGTAAGTGCGTGCTCATAGGCTTCCACCACCTCATTCACATTAACCGAGGCTTTGGATGTAGCTTTGATGAAATTGGTCATACCTGAATGTAAAATGTGATATGAGGCAGGATAACACAATTAATCATTTTGGAAAAGGGAAATGCATTTAAACATAAGACTAATTATACCTTAGTGAAGTAGCGATTTATTATTTCTTCCAACAAATTTAAATGGACAAGTAATGTTATCCAATCTTTTTTCTTCAAGGATCAAGAAATCATTTAAGAGCAATTATTGTTATTAGGGTATTAGAAATAATTTTAGTTTAAACATATTAATTATCAATTATCGACTGTTTAGCACGTTATTTGCAACTTAAATTATTCACATTTGACTCCATATCCTGGAACTAAACAGTGTTGCTCTCATACGAGTTAACATGATCTTTACCCGAGTAGGACTCGAACCCAATTAAGATCCTCGGGTTAAATAGCAGATATATTTACTACAAGATATTGTATTATCATATCCTACGTAAAAAACATGGTTTAAACTATCGCTAAAACAAAAAAGGCAGGAAAAAGCATAATCATTAAAAGCATCTTTTTTAAAGTTTCAATTTACATTGGTTAATGTAATCATCCCGGAGTGTCTTTTTGATTTCTTCAGGCAAGTTTTTCACTTTGTCTTCAAGTCTTTTTTGCTGACCCTTTGGGTCGATTATTCCTGTTTTGAAGGCGCCGGGTTCAACTATACATACTTTCACTCCAGTTCTATATAATTCCCTTCTGTAAATAAAAGAGAAATAATTACTCTAAAATTGAGATAAAACTGCTTTTTAAAACATGGCAGTCATTGATATTGCACTTAATCACCAATTAACAATATCAATATTTTTCTGTTCATATAAAGTACAATCTATTAAAGACACACGATGATATCTTTAGGTAATTAATTAGTTTTCTTGCAGTAAAATCTTACTGGATAAATTTAATTTGAAAAGGAAAATACTCAAACCATTTTTTGGAAATGCCTTTCATATTACTTGGCAAGTTAATGTAGTTCTGTATTAAAAAAGAAAATCTACATGTTTAATGACACTTTGTATACAAAATGTAATAATTTATAGTGTGTTTAGTCAAGAACGTAACGTATCTTCTCATTCAGTACTCATCAGATGTTTATTTTGCATACAGAAAAAGACTGTATAGCATTTATCAGTACACAATGTGTTTCAGATTTTAAATTTGAGCATAATATATCTTTACACAATCTAAATTAATTTAGTTTGGACAATTTACCTGAGGACGTCCGAATATGCTTCAACACAATATTTCGACACAACATAAGTTACTTGACCAAATGCAATACGCCCCATCATACTGGAGGTATTTATAATCCGTCCTTTTTCTTTAATTATAAGCGGTGTTAAAGCGTTCGTTACCAAAGCAACGCCATAGAAATTGACAGACAAAACATTTTCAAAATCTTCTTTAGTCTGCCAAGTGCATTGTCCCGCAGTCCCAGTAACCCCGGCATTGTTCACAACGGCCCAAAGACCTGAAATGTTTTATAAACAGAATCTGTTTGAAATGAACTTATACTTATAAGTTTTTGAAGACTTTAAAAAATCTAAATGTACATGTACGTATACTATCAATAAACTTATTGATTTATTTTGTACCCAAAAAATATCCCACATAATTGTTTTAACTATTCAATAATCTATTTAGAAGGCTTTATTTATATCAAGTTTAATTAAATGGTCTACCGATAGAATTGATGATGAGGCCATGCTTTACATATTTATCTTTTTCCTATACGTATCACCTGTATCGTTTACTTTAAACCAATTTAAAGGTATGCGAATACAAGTTAATGTGTATGCAAACCCAAGTAGATCTATTTAGAAGAATTATGTAAGGTCGGTCTTTCGTTCGCATGTAAAACTATTCTGTTTGTTGTTTATTTGTAAGTACACTATATATTATTTTGGGAATAAATATGACTGTATAAACCAAGTAGATCACTGAAAATTAAATACAAAAACAAATATGACATAGAAATTTATTTTTGAACCATACATATGTACACCAGCCGGACGTGTAAACAGCTCATAGTGCAAAATTCTCAAAATTTAAACTTGCCTTTATCTGTAGGTAATTTGTTTTTGATCGTTTCAACCATTTTGTCAATACTTGTCGCACTTGAGACATCAACTTGTATCGCTGTCAGGTTTTCGGAACATTCTTCCGTCAGCTGAGTAACAGCACTATTCGTATAGCATCCAGCGAATACACGAAACCGCATCACATCTAATCTCTTAGCCAGCATATTCCCGAACCCGGTATCACACCCGGTCACCAACACATATCGCTGCTCAAACTTACTTACTCTTAGTTTTCGAAGTAGCCACTCTATACCGAAAGATATGAGTATTATAAACGAAATAACTAACAATATTTCCATGTTTGTATATGCTGGGTTATGTAGGCACAGATCTAAACCTTGTGTAGTATAAATTAGTACTTGTAGTTAGCCTTAATGAAACTTTAGTGACCTTGTTAGGTTCACATAGCGTGAAATGTGTGACCTTTTATGCGAAGTTTTACATAAATCTACTTCATTTTAATAAATCTCCTCTATAGAAACGGTGAAAAAGGTGTCGTTTTAAACTTAAATCAAAATAACAAACTGTCTTAATGTGATGTGTGTAGGATATAATATAAAAAATTATGCAAAGAAAATTGGTTTATAAAGTATAAACATATACATGCATCTGTTTGTTAAACAATAAGTCATTACGATGCGACTTTAATGCACTGAATCGCTCTGTTTATTCGCCAAACTATCAAGTTATTAAGTAATAGAAAATATCATTTTTAAATGTATCTATATAAATAATGGAAAACTTTTACAAAATCTTTACGGTGATACTCCGATAAATGAACGGTATATGGTAAATGATTGAGTCGTTAGGTTTGATTTATTTAACAGGGGTAATCAGTAATTACTGTTCACGGGCTATTTATTTTGCACCAACACTGACTATGGCGTACTTAGTAGTATTTTCAGCTGGAATTGACCTCCATTCATTATTCCTGACACCAGCGACACCTTAGTTAACAACTGACCGTCCCGGACCGTACTAGCTGGAAAGCATCCTCGCATGACAGTCCAGTCGAGTTATATATTCTTTAAAGTTTTTACTAAAAGGTTTGATGTGAATATTTAATTTTCTACAGCTAATAATGCAAATTGTGCGGAAAATAACATTATTTATTTTATTGCATAGGTTGCCAAAGGAATGTGCAGACAAAATATAGCAAGAATAAGATGAATAAGTTATAGAAGGATATATTTTCCCGTATAACCCTGTTAACAATCTATATAATGGGAATCATAGAATGCTATTTTCTACCGTAAAGTCCTGTAAACAACCCATATAATAAGAATCTTACTAGGCTATAAACCTGTAAAAAACCTGAATACGTTTGTAAAACTTCAAATGCAACCTTTCTAATTTCTTAGATTCGCTAACACTTTACCGATGTTAAAAAGTAACATAAAAATAGAAAATATCCGATAAGCATACATTGATACTTGCTACTTTTATTTCGTTAAAGATAGTATTGTGTGTATTTCAAAGAAAATTAACGAAGTTCTTGCAAGTTACATAATCATTTATTACCTATGACGATGGAATTCACACAGTCGACGCCCGATTTCTCCTTTTTTATGGTAGTATAAATATTTATATAATAAATTATATCATCTTGTATAAGTTTATCCTAAGATTCGATATTATTTTTAAATGAAAAAATATAATGTGTAAGTTTTGCAATATGACATATGAAAAGACGCTTGATATGCAAAAATGTAAGTATTTGTTGCTAATAAAACGTGATATTCATAAACATACAAGCTGGGTACATTATCTGGATGTGTGCTTGGTGGTAATTATACAATGTATTTAGTAAAATATCTGAATTTGTCTCTTTTTTCCAAAACGTACATGGGCGTATCCGATATATTTATAAATCCGTGTGGTACATGGGCTGTGAAAGCATTTCCTTCTGTGAAATACATTTTAACTTAAAAGGAATTTTGTAATTTTAAAATAATTAGAAATTTTCGAGTCACTGGTAGTAATAATAATAATAATAATAATAATAATAATAATAATAATAATAATAATAATAATAATAATAATAATAATAATACTACTACTACTACTACTACTACTACTACTAATAATAATAATAATAATAATGTAAGTATGGACGTTCAATCATAAAATTGAAAATTGGAATTTAAATTTAAATGGATTCATGATGTTTATCTCTTTTCTCAAAAGGATATTGGTCACTTTGCATCAGAAATGCTATGTCATACATTGACCTACACTTATACAAACACGGAGATGTCACGAGAATATACATAGTCAAGCTTAAATGAAAGGTTTGAATGTAAAGCTGTCAATTATATTGAAGAACAATCAGGGAAATAGTGCATGAAGTTTAAACTAAACCTGGCTGTACGCTTGGTAAAGAAAACAACAAATGAGCCGCGTCACGACAAAACCAACATAGTGCGTTTGCGACCAGCATGGATCCAGACCAGCCTGCGCATCCGCGCAGTCTGATCAGGATCCATGCTGCTCGCTTACAAACCCTATTATAAGTAGAGAAACTGATAGCGAACAGCATGGATCCTGATCAGACTGCCCGGATGCGCAGGCTGGTCTGGATCCATGCTGGTCGCAAACCCATTATGTTGGTTTTGTTGTGACGCGGATCAAATTTATGTCCATCATGTCACTTGTACCGATCTGCAAGTTGTGTTGACAGATACATGAGTGTACTTATCTTAAACAGTTATAAGGATAACTTTATATTATTTTAGATAATTTTCTTAAATTGTGTCTAAGAAAAGAAGCAATTCAATTTCCTTTATTTTTTTTATTTTTTTTAGTAAAGTCGTCATCTTGATAAATATTTATGTTTTTCTTTTAAGAGCATATGAGCATATGATGACATATAAATCAATTTGAAAAAGATATTAAATTATCAGACTTGCGTTTAAAATTCATTGTAATTATATCAATATTAGTAATCTTATGTAAATAATTCGGCTATTCAATATTGTATCTATATCTACTTGTTATATCTACTTGCCATCTTAATAGTATTTCTCCTATTTATATGATGTAAATGAAGCTTAAATTTTCTCGTTAGTTTAAGCTGTTCAAATCTAGGTTAAAACATTGAAGTGTTTCGGAAACTATATGCATAATGTTTTATACATTTGCTTGAGTATATGTGTTCAAAGTTCATATTTTTAATTATATTTCTTAGATATTTGGTGGGATAAAGTTATTAATCTCAATGGAGCTTTTCATTATTGTTGCCGTTGTTGTGATAATTGGACTAGTCTTTGAATATTTTCTGAGACAATTAAAAGTTGGAGATTATGAGTCTCGATACATAGTTATAACCGGATGTGACTCGGGATTCGGACACGATTTTGCTAAAAGGGCTGATGCATTAGGATTCAACGTGTTTGCATGTTGTTTAACAAAAGCTGCAGTCCAGAAATTCAAAGAGACGGGTTCTCCAAAATTAGTTGCATTCGAAATGGACGTCTCAAAAGATGCGAGTATAGAAAAATCATTAGAAATAGTAAAACGGACGCTGCCCGAAGGGAAAGGTATGTTTTTATTATATTTGCTTACACAAATCACTAAAGTATATTTTTTGTTTCTCATAAATTGTCTTAAAAAATAAGTATTATCACGGATCTTGATTACATAAATCCGTGGTAATATTTAAAACATTTCGTAATGATATTTCACTACTTTAACAGATAACACCAAAATTCTTTGATTGTGAAAATATTGTAGTATCTTACGTTGACATAGAGATGGTGGTTGGTATCTCACCTGCCAAAAGAGCAAACAAAATCTTAATTTCATCCGAAATTATTTTGGTGTGTTAAAGTCAGAATTCAAAATATCTCCTGCGACGTTTTCAAAAGTTGTCTTTTCTTTTTTTTCTTTTTCATAAACAAAAACATATATCCGAAAAGTTTATATATATTTTATAGGATTGTGGGCAATAGTAAATAATGCGGGCATTTTAGGCGGGATTGGATCGACACATCTTCATACAAGACAAGACTATGAGAACACCTTGTCTGTGAATCTTTACGGGGTTATCATGGTCACAAAAGCATTTATGCCACTTGTTTTGAAAGAGAAAGGGCGCATCGTTAATACCTCCAGCTGTCTGGGGAGAATTGCACTGTTAAATTCCTCCTATTGTATATCAAAGTATGGCGTGGAGGCATTTTCAGATGTTTTACGGTAAGTAGTGTCTCCTTTTATTATTTATTTTATTATTTATACCTGTTCTTTTCTGTTATTAACCTGTCAATAACTGCATAAATAATGTTCCGGTCAGTGCACACGATACATACACACAACCTTTAAAAGATATTCACCGAGATATGTAAATGCGTATTATTTATGCTGTTATGTATACATGTATATGTTTTAGCTCATACTGTCATGTTATGTACATAAATAGGGCATTAAATAGTATTCAAGTTACAATTATTGACTTGTGAGCCGTTGCATACGATGTGATTTTCACCGATAAATGTCATATTGACCAGGCAAAGGCCGAGGTTAGTTTGCTATTTTGTCGAAGAATATCACATCATATTCAATGGATAATTATTCAATAATTGTTTTATTATATGATCAGCCTTAGTTTCACAAAAAGTAAAGCCTAATATTAAAAAAAACGTATCGATGTTCTTATTATTGCGGTGTTACTATTTACTTTTATTATTGGGTAACTAGATTTGAATCGAGAAATATGCAATAAAGAACAAACATCATTAATTTGCAATGTGGTGATTGAATATGAGTCTGATTCTATATTTAGGGAAAGTCCACTTTAGCCATTGAAAATAATAATACACCAAAATTCATTTTTTTATTATCAGACGAGAACTTTACAGAACAGGAGTCAAAGTACAATTAATAGAACCTGGAGCTTTCAAAACACCAATATTCGGGAGGGATTATATCCGAAAAATGGCAGAAAACAAAGTAGCAAGTTTACCAGCAGACGTAAAGTCGGATCTTCCAGAAGATGCCGTAGATCAGCGTAAGTGGTCATGGCCAAAACATGGATATTATTATATGATTATCACATTGATCAGATTGTATGTTTGTTGATTAGTTTTTATTGTTGTTGTTGTTGTTTGTCCTTTCTTTGGCTTTGAGTCGCACCAACATTGTAAAGGTCACATGTTAAATGTTCTGCGTTACTGGTGGAGGAAGCATCAGATGCTCCACCTTGCATTATTTCAGACACGAGTAGTGCCATCGTAATTCCGATCAGTTAAGATAATAAAACAATAGTCAAAATTTCGAAGATATATATAGCAAAGTACAGCTTGATATACAATAAAGGTGGATTTATTCTAAAGTCGTCATCATCATCATTATCTAATTAACACAATTGTTGAAATTTCAAAGATAAATGGAGCACAAAGAATAGTTTGATATACAATATAGGTGGATATATTCTAAAGTCGTCATCATCATCATTATCTTGAACTAGATGTACCATGTTTTCTTTCCAAATACTTACGGGTTTTTTTTTGCAATTCTTAAAAGAAGCTAAGGTCAATGCCATCTCGTTTGACTTAATCCTTCCAAAAACGTACGTTTCTTTTCTTCACTTTTTTTCAATTTTTAAAAGAAGTTGAGGTCAATGTCATCTTTCAAAAATATAAAAGAAACAATACAATGAAAATTGCTGCCAGTCTGAAAGATAAGAATAATTGAAGTACGACATAACATTGAGTTACCCAGCTCCAGCTATCGTTAATCAGTTTAACCTTTCAATGTAGGAAAATAATGTTTCACTGTTAAAGTAATTTTTAACTTCAGAACAGTTATGTATTGCTACACATCTTGTGGTAGTTTTTTCTGATCATCCTCAATTCAGTTGATAACCATTGCTTTCAAATAATTCTTATGACTTAATCATATACTTTTGTTTCATTTTAATTCTTTTATTTGTTTATGAAGTCGTTGGTTCAATCCGCCGACTGGAAGAGACTGGTTCAACAAACACACAGCTCGTGGTGGACGCCTACCTCCATGCTGTCACAGCATTGTTCCCACTAAAGAGGTAAATTAATCGTTTACACTGTTTTTATTATCATAAAAATAAATGTTAGAAAAAAGCAACTTATATTTGGCCTAATTACTAAAGCTATTATTCAATTGTAACTTTAAGTACCATTGTTTGATAAATTAACTTGAAAGCGTGCTTTATTTCCGGTGATATATCAATAACTTACTTATATAACAATGTGAATTACTTCGGCTAAGATATATAAACAGTTGAATGACTGTGATGAGGGAGTTTTGCGTATACAAAAACGTAATGTTGAGTATTTGATTGCAAATTGACATTAACGTTACGGTTGAGTATATGATTGCAATATGACATTACGTTACGGTTGAGTATATGATTGCAATATGACATTACGTTACGGTTGAGTATATGATTGCAATATGACATTACGTTACGGTTGAGTTTATGATTGCAATATGACATTACGTTACGGTTGAGTATATGATTGCAATATGACATTACGTTACGGTTTGATTTTATGATTGCAATATGGCATTACGTTACGGTTGAGAACATGATTGCAATATGACATTACGTTACGGTTGAGTATATGATTGCAGTATGACAATACGTTACGGTTAAGTACAATATGGCATAACGTTACTGTTGTCTATATAATTGCAATGTGAAATTAAGTGACGGTTGTATTAATGATTGCAGTATGACATTTCGTAACGGTTTGTCTTTATGATTGCAAAAAGGCATTACGTTACGGTTGAGTACATGATTGCAATATGGCATAACGTTACGGTTGACTATATGATTGCAATGTGACATTAAGTTACGGTTGTCTTTATGATTGCAATATGACATAACGTTAAGGTTGTCGATATGATTGCGAAATGACATTACGTTACGGTTGTCTATAATGATTGTTATATGACATTACGTTACGGTTGACTTTTTTATTGCAATATGACTATACATTACGGCTGTCTTTATGATTGCAATATGACATAAAGTTACGGTTGTCTATATGATTGCAATATGACATTACGTTACGGTTACATGTATATACATCGTTTGTATGTGGTGCGCACCTTGTGATTTCCCGGTTCAACATTAAATCAAGTCTAATTAAATTTTGAGATGAAAGCATTTTCATAAAAACATATTAAATTTAAATTATATGTCTGAGAAACATGTTCATGTTAATTAAGTGATAACATTTAAATATAAACCTTTTACATTCACATACATTATGATAGGAATTCGTAAAAGGTGTGTCTGGTGATTTTCTTCCCTTTCATTACAATTTTGGTTGTATATTGTAGATACATGGTGGGTAATGATAGCAAGTATGCGTACCGTCTGCTTTCGATCCTCCCAGAATGCATCAGTGATTTTTACGTTGACTTGAGGGACGCACGTTCTATCTAAGATGACGATTGTAGATTGCATATAAATAATCGTTTCCGATGAATCACATTCTTTGAGATCTTTATATTTATACATGTATATGTATATAAATATGGTGTTGGGTATTATGTATATATAACATTTAGTCAGAATAAACTTGTATACAAAATATACGTTTGATAGTAAAACATTGGTTATGTTTTATTAACATACCATGAAATTTAATAAAACTCATTGCAATTCATCGCATGATTTATTTGTTGATAAATGAATGTAGTATTTTATCTTAAGTCTATTTGTATTGCTAATGTGTGCAGGTAAAAGGGATATATTTGATTTAAATGTATATACAGATATAAATTAAAATGTTCAAATCAAATAAATGAAATATGGCGACAGATTTTGCAAACAGCACTTTAATCAACACAACATATATGTACATCCTGGTGATGTATACAATTAAAAAGATTTCTACTAGTACACCGCCTGCTAAGTTAATTAGAAAATCAAAATGGAGTATTTAATACCACAGGACAACAAAATGGACAAAATAAAATTCGGGGCACGCCATCCGCCATATTTATTTTCACAAGGTTACCTATATAGGAGACAGTATACTGTTTTTAAGGCTAGTAGTCCGGTCAGCTCAATATGTACAGCGTTTGACTGTGAATCGGGCGACTCTGGTTCGATTCTCGGACGAAGCAGATCACTTTCATCATTCGCACTGTACCTCTGCTCTGCATGTACAGAAGTAATCAATTTTTTGCTAAAGTGAAGGCAACTTATTCTGGTAAACTGTTTGACAGCATGCCCAGGAACGATGCGGTGGCTCATTGCCGAGATCCGGAGTGAAAACTACCAACACCACCACCGTTTTCAAGGCTTCTCGACAAATATATAACTGACCGCATCAAAACCTCACATACAAGTCTGTAATCAAACTCCAGAAATAGATGCATTTTATTTTCCCATAAACATAAGTATCTTACAGCAAACAAAAATAATACATGTCCAACTTCTGGTTTTCTATTTCACAGCCCTGAGGATTTGCTTGTTTTCATCGTGAAAACATATTATTAAAAAACAGCCAACATTTCCTTTTATTGAAATCCTAAAAAAATAAGGTCGAAATATATATTATATACTGCTTGTCAAACTCCAAGTCTGAAGATAACATGAAAACAGCTTTTTCAAAATCATTCAAACCCTACGAAAAACATTTCATTTATTGAAATATTTCAATTGTAAATTGATGTAAATCAAATGATAAAATAATGATAACAACAATATTGCTTTTTTAAAAAGAAGCATGCCAGAGGGTTTTTTAACTGTGGAAGCTTTGCTTAATTATTCAAATGGCGGAGAAAGTAAAGAATTTCTGATTGTTTTAATTGCATCTGCGAACAAAAGCAAATTTTGGCTGTTCCTCCAAATCTCTGGAAAAGCTCTATTCTGAAGTTAAAGGAGCAGCAAAATTGTATAGCTCGGTGACATTGTAGCTAAAGTGTTTAGTGTTACTATTTAACAAAACATGAAATAATAAAATGCTTTTCATAACCAATTATCAATTTATACAGTTTAAAGGATTAAAAACGGCATGAATCACTGCTTATAATGTTGAATGTGAAGTTAATGATATATTTTCTGACTTTTCCTTTTACCGATGTGTTCACATCAATGCTAATTTTTCGTTTAAATAAACTCGTTTTTTTAATCGGAGCATGCACATAACGATTGTGTAAACTGGTTCTAACGAGATTAGAATTCAAATGAATACATTAACTTAAATTTGATACGCAAAATGGGTGCCACCAACATTCATTCTCAACACTATGGAGAGGCATTGTGACAAATAATAATCAATTTGATTAATACCATAGTAACAAATTAATTTAACACATTTTGAAAAATAGTGTGACAGTTGCTCTCTTTAGACGTGGAAAATAATTCTTCTAAATGATTTAAATTTTTTCTTATGTTGAATGAATTGAATTTAGAAAATGTACGTCAACTGCAAATTTATACATCAGTTCTATATTGCTTTTTCTTCTTAACGAACTGCTTTGTATAAGATATGATTCCTCGTTTAACTAGCTGTTTTGATTTTCATTTTTTTATTTCGTCAAATAAGTACAATTGCCGTATTTTATTTTGTAAATGTGTTCGATGTTGTTTTTTTTTTTTGTAAATAAAGTAAGTAAAATATTACAATGATCATTCTATTTAAACAATTCATAAAATGAATATTAATTTTAGGAGACGAATTGGTTTCTAAACGTGTATTATGGTTTAACTTAGGGATCTTAATCATAATACTTAGTCTAAAACCCAAAGTTAAAAAAAATCGGATTTTAGCTTTCATTTTAGGTCAAAGGTTAGAAATACTATCGTTGTTTTTCATACTTTTAACTCGTTTTTAACTCGGATAAATAGTTTAGTTTTTTTCTATGTAAGGAATTAAAATATAATATTTCAAAGTGATTTATAGTATTATAGTATATAATTCCATTCAATAACCTGACGCGTATCACATCTTTTTGTCCATTTTTATGAGTTTAAAACTAAATATAAGTTAATGTTTTTGAGGCTTTAGCGAGTCGAAAAATTTCCGCCAAAATTTTTAACAACCTTTAAATTTAAAAGCTGTGTAGGTTTTAATATTTATTGAGTGATTTTTTTCATTTTTTCACGAGGGGAAATTTAAAAAATTTCGAGAATTTAGGGAAATTTTTCTTACCAATCACTCCCCCTTTTAACTATGTTTTCATATATTTTAAAATGGTTACTGAGAAAACAAAAAATTGACAATTTTCGATAAACGATTTTTTTTGGGTAACCGGGTGGATTGGGGTTTTTGGTTTGGATTTTACCCAAAGAAACTAAAACAAAATGGGATTTAATGTTTTTGCTTTTTGGGCCTCCCCAAAATTTCCTCCCAGTTAAAAATTTCAACGAAACAATTTCTTCAAAATTTGAAAGCAAAAAGAAATGGATGCCCAAAAAGGGACTCAAGTTTTAAAAGACGAATGGAAATAGTTAAAAGGGGGAGTTTTTCCCAAATAAAAAGGTTTTGATTTTCTTTATAAAACAAATTAATGTAAACAAAATTACATTATATTAATAGGTTAAGATATCAATATTTCCACAGGAGCTTGACATTCTACAAGAATTGAAAAATATAAGCAAATAAGTGATAAATAACGGTAAATATACCCCTCTGTTCAATTAATAAACACAAGGAATTCAACGCCTTTTGCACACTCAATACAAATTTTATCCAATTTCACGCGTAATTTCAACAAACTTGTTAAGCCATTTCGATACACAATAAAAAATAATACTTTTTACAATCGCTTATATTTTAAATTAAAGCATTACTTTAATAAGAAATTGTCAATGTTTACTCAAATGTCAACAAAATATTTTGTCTGGACATGCGCTGACGACCGGTATTTGTCGGCTGTTTAAGATCGGTTTGCGTCATTATGCATTTTTTTTCAACAAAATGGGGCATATGGCCTTCGTGGTCAATTTCTACGCATCCATCAGGATTCTAAACCGGTGTTATATACATCGCCCAGGCCGATATTATTTCTTTATCATATCTTGCTATTGCTATAGTGACAGAAAGTTAGTTTTATGAAATTAGCATCATATTTATTTTAACGAAAAGGAAAACTCCTGATTGATCGCATCACTAACGTTCATTACATCAAGTTGTCTTGTCTCTTAATAGGAGGACTCATTATTTATTATACTTATTAATTTTACACAATCAACTCAATTGATACAAACCATAAGATTAGTACATCAATGCACATTGTTTCTTAAGTACTAGGAAAAAAATACATTTCATTATCGACAAGTGTATTTGCGATATCATATTTTCATTGTATTTGGGAAAAAATACACTATAAGCTGGATTTAAAAAGAAATATGTAGAGCGTTCAAAACGGTAAAATTGAAAAAGAATCAGGTTCTGTTTCATAATTGATATTAATAAAAGCAACAACCAACTAAACGAAGCCTGTTGCCTTCAATGACTGAGGCATAAGAATTCCAGCCATCGTTTATCCATGCGTGATCGTAAGCGGCGACAAAATGGGTTCGAATAATAATTAATAAAAACAAATTATCAAGCACACAAAGCCTGTTTTGGATTAGCGGCTGGCTTCAATGGTTTAGGTATAAGAATTCCAGGCACCGTTTACCCATGCGTGATTGAAAGCGGCGACTAATTGGTGTCTTTGCATCTCTAAGATCCAGCAGGTGCGTTCGTTTTGACACCATGCGTTGCTTTGAAATTAGTAATACCCAAGGTTAGCCAAATCATATTTCCTGTTTTGGCGTCATATTGCCTTTACTGTGTTGGTACGCCTTATATAACCAAACAAACAGAGCGCTAAATCACCCTACATTTAACCATCATTGTTTTTTTGTCTTTGGAATTAAAACTTTTATTTTGTAGGCTTATGGGCAGTAGTGAACAATGCTGGTATATTTGGTGGAATAGGACCAACCATTCTTCATACAAGACAGGAATACGAGAACACACTTGCTGTTAATTTATATGGTGTTATCATGGTAACGAAAGCGTGTCTGCCTTTAGTTCTTAAAGAACACGGGAGAATTGTGAACACTTCCAGTATATCAGGAAGAGTTGGTTTCTTTAATTCTTCTTATACTATTTCCAAGTATGGTGTAGAGGCTTTTTCTGATGTTCTAAGGTAAAGGAAAGCTTCAAACATAAACAATTTTAAGGTTGTTCTACGTTAAAAGGCACTCCATTGAGCTTTTTTTTACATCAATTAACTATCTTTTCAAGACTTGTATACCATTTGTGTAGGTTTGGACCAATTCATGTGATAATTTATTAATTATTCACTACGGTTTAAAGTACCCTTTTTTCGATTTTCCCGAGACTTATCAATTTAATTGAAAATTGATAATATGGAAAGGTAATTTTAAAGGTGGATCCCCCTATACCGCAACACTTGCCTGCTTTAGTTTAAATTAAGAATAAAAAATTTCCCAACGTTATCTCTTACAACATCTTCTTACTGAACTTTGGCAATTAAGGTTTTTTTGATAAATATGGGTTGCCAATATCTTTGATATTTGGCTTGAAATTAAGTTTCCCAAAATATTTTAAAGTTACAGAAAGTTAATCAAA